GTTTATTGAAAAGCATTTAAAATGCTTATTCAGCCTGTGAACTAAAGAAAAATAAAGGGTAAATTATTGAGACTTAATTGTTTATTTTATTAATTCTTTTTTTTAAAGATTTACTTATTTATTTGAAAGTCAGAGTTACACACACACAGAGGGAGAGAGAGAGGTCTTCCATCCGATGGTTGATTCTCCAATTGGCCGCAACAGCCAGAGCTGCAGCTATCTGAAGCAAGGAGCCTCTTCTGGGTATCCCACGCGGGTGCAGGGGCCCAAGGACTAAGGCCATCTTCTACTGCTTTCCCAGGCCACAGCAGAGAGCTGGATCAGAAGAGGAGCAGCCCATATGGGATGCCGGAATTTCAGGCCCAGGGCATTAACCCGCTACATCACAGCGCCAGCCCCAATTTATGAATTCATTTTTTTTTCTTTTCCAATCTCTTATACCATATGAAAACATTTCCACAGAAAGGTTGAATATTAAGAAATCTTGCTAGTTATTACTAGCTTTGGTTGAGAAGATGCTGAAATTAATGGTACAACAGAGATTTTGGAGATTCTTTGCCTTGAGTTATCCCTTCAGGCCATTTTAGTTTTGTCCTATTTCAATTTAAGAACACTTAAAATTGGTAGAGTTCATTTAACTTCTTATTTTTGATTATAATAACTTTAAAAATATTTTTAAAAATATTTATTCAAAAGAGTAACAGAGGGGTAGAGGCAGAGAGATCCTCCCTTCTCTGATTTACTCTTGATGCCTACAAGAGCCAAGTTTAGGCCAGGTTAGGAGTCAGGAACTCAACCAGGTCTCCTACATAGGTGGTAGGGACTCAGGTACTTCGGCCATCTTCCACTGCCTTCCCAGACAAATTAACAGGAAGCTAGATTATAAGTGGAGCAGCAGGGACTCAAATTGGCACTCCAGTATGGGACACCTGCATTCTAAGCAGTAGCTTAACCCTCTGTGCCACAATGCTAATCCCTAAAAACTCTTATCTTTGTTCTATATAGAAACTGTTCATAAAAAATACAGGGAGTGGGCCGGCGCCGTGGCTCAATAGGCTAATCCTCCACCTTGCGGCGCCGGCACACCGGGTTCTAGTCCCGGTTGGGGCGCCGGATTCTGTCCCGGTTGCCCCTCTTCCAGGCCAGCTCTCTGCTGTGGCCAGGGAGTGCAGTGGAGGATGGCCCAGGTGCTTGGGCCCTGCACCCCATGGGAGACCAGGAAAAGCACCTGGATCCTGGCTCCTGCCATCGGATCAGCGCGGTGCGCCGGCTGCAGCGGCGGCCATTGGAGGGTGAACCAACGGCAAAGGAAGACCTTTCTCTCTCTGTCTCTCTCTCTCACTGTCCACTCTGCCTGTCAAAAAAAAAAAAAAAAAATACAGGGAGTGGAGGACTCTTCTTGACAGGCAGATACATAAAATTCGATGCTTCCCAAAACCCAGATGCTTTTATGTTGTTATATATCTAACAACTGTTTTCTTCTCCAAAGTATTTGTACATTGCTAGTGATGGGTTGGGGTAGGGGATTGTGTGTTAAGAAGGTGACTCCAAATCAAGACAAAAAGAATGTGATGAAATATAAAGGTGAGAATAGGAAGGTTTGTTTTATGTGAAACATCCTAAGGTAAAATGGCAGGATATCTAACATCCTCATGAGTACAGAAATGTTAACACTCTAAGCTGTAGAGATGGTGACCCCTAAAGGGGGAAGCATATCAAACTTAAATAGTATTGCTTACGTCACTCATAACTGCAGTTGTGAAAAAATCAACAGAACTTTTTTGTGAAATGATGGGATTTGAATGGGAAAAGAGGACAAAATAATCTGAGAAATTTTCTAGAATAATGCTGTCCAGTAGAAATTTCTGCAGCTATGTGGTGGTTATGTATTTGTGCTATCCGGTATGGTAGCTACTAGCCACACATGTGGCTGTCGAAGACTTGAAATGTGTCAAGTATGACTGAGGGACTGAATTAAATTTAAATGGTTACATGTGGATTTAGATTACCATATTGGACAATGCAGTTCTGAAATATGCTTTTTACTGCCTTTAAATCACTCCTCCACATAGACAGACATTATCACCATTCTCAAAGAGCATGTGGCCTGTAGAAAAGGCAGACAAATATTTAACCTTAAGATGACAAAACATAAAAGAAGCAAAGTAGAGAGGAACTAGGATATGTCTAGCTGAGAGGAACAGAGTCTAGATGAAAATTAACATAAAGCAGGTTGAATCTTTCAGGTGTGACAGCTCTTTCAGATTTGCTTTTGGGGACTGCTCCATGTCTTCACCATAGAAGATATACAGTGAACAGTCTTCTGGTACTGCCCCAGAATTTTTCCAGATATTTGTCATATATTAACCATGTTAGTAGCCCCACTCAGTCCTTGAAGCCTTTTTTTTTTTTTCTTTTTCAAGGTAGAGTTACAGAGGAAGAAGGAGAGACAAATATCCTCATCTGCTGATTCACCCCCCAAATGGCTGCGATGGCCAAGGTTGTGCCAGGCCAAAGCCAGCAGCCAAGAGCTTCTTCCTGGTCTCCTCCATAGGTACAGGGGCCCAAGGCACACCAGCAGGGAGCTGGATAAGAAGTAGAGCAGACGGGACTCCAACCACCACCCATATAGAGTGCCAGCACTGCAGGCCGCGGCCTAACCCACTGCACCAGCCTCTTGAAGCCTTTATTAAAAAATGAGCATTTTGGGCCAGCGCTGTGGCTTGCTTGGTTAATCCTCCACCTACAGCGCCGGCATCCCATATGGGCACCGAGTTCTAGTCCTGGTGCTCCTCTTCCAGTCCAGCTCTCTGCTGTGGCCTGGGGAAGGCAGTGGAGGATGGCCCAAGTGCTTGCGCCCTGCACCCACATGGGAGACCAGGAGGAGGCACCTGGCTCCTGGCTTCGGATTGGCGTAGCTCCAGCCGTAGCAGCCATTTAGGGGGTGAACCAACGGAGGGAAGATCTTTCTCTCTGTCTGTATCTCTCACTGTCTAACTCTTATCTGTCAAAAACAAAAAAGAGTTACTGTTTAAAAAAGAAAAAGAGCATTTTAAGGGCAAGCATTGTGGCATAGTGGGTGAAGCCACTGCCTGTGGCACTGGCATCCTATAAGGTATGGATTCAAGTCCCAGATTTTGTTGTTTTTGTTATTGTTGTTTATGCAAGTTCATTGAAGAAAAGTAAAGCAATTACTAGCAGAGCTATTAGTTGATCAACTCCCAGATTCTTTGCTTTCGATCCTTTGATTCTGATCCAGCTCCCTGCTAATTTTCTTGGGAAGACAGCTGAGGATGGCCTAAGTACTTGGGCCCATGCAACCACGTGGGAGACCTAGAAGAAGGCTCCTGGCTCCTGGCTTCAGATTGGCCCAGCTCCAGCTGTTGCGGCCATTTGGGAAGTGATCCAATCTCTCTCCTTATCTGTCTGTCTCTAACTCTGCCTTTGAAATAAATAAATGGCCGGCGCCGCGGCTCACTAGGCTAATCCTCCGCCTAGCGGCGCCGGCACACCGGGTTCTAGTCCCGGTTGGGGCGCCGGATTCTGTCCCGGTTGCCCTTCTTCCAGGCCAGCTCTCTGCAGTGGCCAGGGAGTGCAGTGGAGGATGGCCCAGGTGCTTGGGCCCTGCACCCCATGGGAGACCAGGAAAAGCACCTGGCTCCTGGCTCCTGCCATCGGATCAGCGCGGTGCGCCGGCTGCAGTGCGCCGGCTGCAGTGCGCCGGTCACGGCGGCCATTGGAGGGTGAACCAACGGCAAAGGAAGACCTTTCTCTCTCTCTCTCTCTCACTGTCCACTCTGCCTGTAAAAAAAAAAAAAAATAATAAATAAATAAATAAATAAATCTTTTTTAAAAAGTTAATATTTTGTACACTGAGTTAATACCACATTGTTTAGCATCTATCTTATAGTTTTTTCATTGATTAGATTAAAAACTTGGAAATGGAGGCTGCAATTTCTTTCTCAGATGAGAAAATTATTTATGTACTCACAGTCATTAAATAGAATGTTTCCTTGGGTTGTGTTGTGGCACAGTGGGCTGAGCAGTCACTTACAACTCCTGCATCCCATATCAGAGAGCTGGTGTGAGTCCCAGCTGCTGCAGTTCTTTCCAGAACCCCAGCGGATGGGCCTGGGAAGCAGCAGATGATGGCTGAAGTACCTGAGGCCTGGCCAACCACACAGGGGACCCAGATGGAGTTCCTGGCTCCTGGCTTCTGCCTGGCCATTTGGGGAGTGAACTAGCATATGGAAAAATCTCTCTGTTTCACTCTGCCTTTCAAATAAATAAATAAATCTTTTTTTTAAAAAAGGTTTAAATTTTTTCCCCTGTAGTTGTTCTAGATTTTTTCAAGATTTTTTTTTTTTTTTTTTTTTACAGGCAGAGTGGACAGAGAGAAAGGTCTTCCTTTGCCGTTGGTTCACTCTCCAATGGCCGCAGCGGCCGGCGCAGTGCTGATCCGAAGGCAGGAGCCAGGTGCTTCCTCCTGGTCTCCCATGGGGTACAGAGCCCAAGCACTTGGGCCATCCTCCACTGCGCTCCCGGGCCACAGCAGAGAGCTGGCCTGGAAGAGGGGCAACCGGGACAGAATCCGGCACCCCGACTGGGACTAGAACCCGGTGTGCCAGCGCCGCAAGGCAGAGGATTAGCCTATTGAGCCGCGGCGTCAGCTCTATTTAATCAAATTTAAACAGTGAAATCAATTACTTTAATTGCTGTTATAGTTTTTTATGTAATTTTTATGTTTATAAATTCAATTTTTGCTAATAGTCACTTATTTAATAGAAATTTAAGATTTAATTCAGGAAGGCACTAAAATACTGGGAAAGTTGTACTGTAAATTAAAAATATAAGTGTGGTTTCTGAAAATGGTAGTTTATATGTTAGAGTTGGCATTTTAGTGATGAGGTTGGCATTTTAACTTTTAAAATAACATAACTTTGCAATATGTTGTATCTTATAAATATTTTTTAAAAATTTTATTATTTTCTTCTCCATAGATTTTTGCTTCAGTGTCTTGAGGATCTTGATGCTAATCTGCGAAAATTAAACTCTCGTCTGTTTGTGATTCGTGGACAACCAGCGGATGTGTTTCCCAGACTTTTCAAGGTAATTTGAAAAGTATTTACATAAAATAACAACATCTTTAGCAGCAAAGATAACATATTTAGCAAACAAAGCTTTTCAGTTATTTAACTTAAGCTTATATAACTTAAGTATTTTTAGACTATTAACTTTAACTTAATAACTTAAATAACTTTAGCTTATTAAGTTGTGAAAAATATTTTTCTTGAAGATTTATTTTTTTATTTGAAAGGCAGTTACAGGGGCTGCTGGTACCATGGCTCACTTGATTAATCCTCTGCCTGCGGCGCCAACATCCCATATGGGCGCCGAGTTCTAGTCCCGGCTGCTCCTCTTCCTGTACAGCTCTTTGCTGTGGCCTGGGAGGGCAGTGGAGGATGGCCCAAGTGTTTGGGCCCCTGCACCCACATGGGAGACCAGGAAGAAGCACCTGGCTTCTGGCTTCAGATCTGCATAGCTCTGGCCGTGGCGGCCATTTGGGGAGTGAACCAACGGAGGGAAGACCTTTCTCTCTGTCTCTGTCTCTCTCACTGTCTATAACTCTACCTGTCAAATAAATAAAATAAAGGCAGTTACAGATATGCAGAGGCAGAGAGAGAAAGAGGTCTTCTATCTGCTGGTTCACTCCCCAAATGATTGCAACAGCTGGAAATGGGCCATTCTGAAACCAGGAGCCTGGAGCTTCTTCCAGGTCTCCCATATGGGGTTCTTGGCCCATCTTCTACTGCTTTCCCAGGTGCATTAACAGGGAGCTGGATTGAAAGTGGAACAGCCAGGACTCAAACTGGTGCCCATGTGGGATGCCAGCACTGTAGGCAGTGGCTTTACCTGCTATACCACAGTGCCAGTCCCATGAAAAATATTTTAAAATAAAAATTATATGTATTTTTTCTTAATGAAAAAGTTACATATGATGAAATCATGACTGGAAAAATAATTTATAATGAAAAGTTAATTTTTCTTCTGCCTTAAGCTGCTAGTTCTTCTACCAAAAGCAATAACTACTACCAGTTTCTTAAATGTCCAATTATAAATACGCTTTATTTAAACAAGATTGTATATGTGCATTTATTTACATTTGTACCTGTGTTCTCTTTTTTAAAAACCTAGGTGACAGCACATTGTATATACCATTCTATTCTGTTCTGTTCTGTGCTTTATTCACAGAATCATGTATTTGGGATATTGTTCATGTTACTTCTAAATGGTTCCATAGTGTTCCATTGTGTAGATTTACAATAATTTCTTTAACAGGCTTTCTATTGAACATTTAGTTGTTTTTTCTACAAGCCTTTTGCATGCAAACAGTGCCAATGAATATCCTCATTCACATGTGTATATCTTTGATCACATGTGCCTATACATTTGTGGGATAATTCTTAGAAGAAGAGGACTTTCTGGGTCAAAACAATTATCGTTGTATCAAAAATGCAAAATTGTATTTTTTAACTTGGTAGAATCTTATAAAATTCTTGATCTTAATCTCTCCATTTTCCAATTGAAAAAAGTAGGCCTAGAGAGATTAAAGGAGTTGTTCAGGATCATACAGCTAGCTCACGAAAGTGCTCAAACCAGAAGCTAAGTTTCCTGTCCTTTTTATATGCCTCGTTCCTGTTTATTATCATTAGAATTCCTAATGTCTCCCTGCTTCTTTTTGCAGCTGTTTGATTCATCATATTTAAAAATATATATAATTATTTATCTGGAAATCAGAGAAAGAGGGAGAGAGATCTGTCGATCAATCTTCCATCTGCTGGTTCACTCCCCAAATGGCCACAACAGCTGAGGTTGGCCCAAGCCAAAGCCAGGAGCTTCTTCCAGGTCTCCCCCATGAGTACAGAGGCCCAAGCACTTGGCCATCCTCTACTGCTTTTCCAGGCACGTTAGCAGGGAGCCAGATCAGAAGTGGAGTAGCTAAGGCTAGTACTGGTGACCATATGGGATGCCAGCATTACAGGTGGCAGCCTAGGCCATTCCGCCACATTGCTGGCCACCATCATATTCTTATAACAGCAATGTTTCTTTTTTTTTTTTTAATTCAAAGATTTGTTTATTTGAAAGGCACAATGACAGAGTGAAGGAGAGACAGAAAGAGAGAGATCCTCCATCTGCTGGTTCATTCCCCAAATGGCTATAGCAGCTAGGCCAGACCAAAGCCAGGAGCCCAGAACTTCATCTGGATCTCCCACGTGGGTGACAGAGGTCCATGTATTTCATCCATCTTCTACTTCTTTCCCAAGTGCATTAGCAGGGAGCTGTATCAGAAGCACAGCAGCTGGGACTACAACCAGCAGTCTAGGATGCTGGCATTGCAAACAGCAGATTAACCTGCTGTGGCACAATGCCAGCCCTTCAAGTTAGAATTTAAACTAGATTGTCTACAGCCCATGCCACCCTGAACATGCCTGATCTCCTCTGATCTTAAGCTAAGCAGGGTCAGGCCTGGCTGGTACTTGGATGGGAGAATTTAATCTAGGTGTTCGGAAGAATTGTGACAAGAAAGTATATCTGAAACAATGATAACAGTTTATCCACAACTCATGAGTGTAAAAATGTGGGCATTTGCCTCAACTCTAACTCTAAATCTATTTGGTATAAGTAAGAATTTAGTCAGTTTTTTTTAAAGGATTTATTTTATTGATTTGAAAGAATTATGGAGAGAGGTAGAGAAAGAGACAAAGTGAGATATCTTTCATCTGCTGGTTTACTCCCTAAATGGCCACAACAGCTGGAGTTGAGCCAGTCTGAAGCCAGGAGCCAGAAGCTTCTTACGGGTCTCCCACATAGGTGCAGGGGCCCAAGCACATAGGCCTTCCTCCACTGCTTTTCCAGGTGGAAAGGGAGCTGGATTGGAAGTGGAACAGCTGGACTTGAACTGGCACCCATATGGGATGCCATTGCTGCAGTCTGGGGCTTTAACACACTGTGCCACATCGCCGACCCCAGATTTTAGTCACTTTAACATAACAGAATTTTTATTTACTTGGGTTTTTAAATTTATTTTTAGAATTTATTTGAGAGACAGAAACAGAGGAAAAGCTCTCATTCTCTGGTTTACTCCCCAGATGGCTTGCAACAGCCAGGATTAGGCGGGGCTTAACTTGGAGCCAAGAACTCAATCCAGGTTTTCCACATGGGTGACAGAAACCCAACTACTTGAACCATTTACCACTGCCTCCCAGGGTTTCTGCATTAGCAGGGAGCTGGTACCAAGTATCAAATGCAGGTATCAAACACATGACAGTCAACACCTTAAACTGTTGGTCCTGCCCTTTTTACTTGTTTGTGAACAAATTTTTTTCAAGGCAACAAGTCTTTTCTGTTCTTTGTTTTGAGACTACTTCTGCCTAAAGTAGCATATTATCGGATCAAATTATGTTCTGCATTTAGATAATGTCCTATCTTGTCAGTTTGGCAAAAAGGCATGGGTTTCTACATGTATCATAAAATACAGATGCATGAATGCATACATAAATGCTTTTTTGATTTTTTTCCTCTGGCTACATATAGAGGTCTATATAAAATGCCATTTATGAAAACTTTCAGATTTATTTACTGTGTCTGGAACTGTAAAGCAAATTAATGTTTTGATTTTTACTTTTTGTTTAGAGGGACTACAGGCATGTATTTTAAAAACTAAGTCTAAAAAGTTATAGAATTGAAAGCAGGCATCCCGCCCACTCCTAACCTTCTCACCCCCTGTTCCTATGAGGAAGAAAACTCTTTCGTCAGTAACTAACTGACGCAGGTAAAGCTGTGTCTCTGGTTTTTTATTCTATTAACTGCAAATAGTGAGAATTTTTATTAGGTAATTAATTCTGTTTCCTACATTGGAGAGAAAACTGGTTTAGACCTAGTAACAGTGCCTTTAGTTTATTAGGATGGTTGATAATGACTCATACTGTTGTTTCCTTAGTATGCATCTTCCCTTGGTAGGCATTGACTCATTTTATTCTGTTTATATTGAGATTTAGGAATGGATTGGAGCATTTTTATACATACATCTATAATTCAGAGAAAAATATGTCTGATACACTGTTGTTATATTTTCTGGTGTAGTTTCTTTTTTTTTTTTTTAAGATTTATTTATTTATTTATTTGAGGGTCAGAGTTACACAGAGAGTTAAGGAGAGGCAGAGAGAGAGAAAGAGGTCTTCCATCCACTGGTTCACTCCCCAATTGTCCACAATGGCTGGAGCTGTGCTGATCCGAAGCCAGGAGCCAGGGGCTTCTTCCGGGTCTCCCACACGGGTACAGGGGCCCAAGGACTTGGGCCATCTTCTACTGCTTTCCCAGGCCACAGCAGAGAGGTGGATTGGAAGAGAAGCAGCCGGGACTGGAACTGGCGCCCATATGGAAAGCCAGCACTGCAGTCAGGGGCTTTACCTGCCAACCCCTTCTTGTTTAGTTTCTACCTAGGTGTTTTTCTCAGTTAAATTCTGACTTAATATAAATTAATAAGATAGCTTTTTTTTTTTTTTAATGTACCTAAATTTTTTAAAGGACGGTCTCACGGGCTGGCGCTGTGGTGTAGCAAATAAAGCTGCTGCCTGTACCACTGACATTCCTTTTGGGCACCAGTTGGTGTCCTGGCTGCTCTGCTCTGCTTTTGATCCATCTCCCTGCTAATGGCCTGAGAAAAACAGCGGAAGATGTTCAAGTACTTGGGCACCTTCCACTCACATGGCAGACCAGAAGAAGCTCCTGGATCCTGGCCTTGGCCTGCCTCAGCTCTGGCCATTACAGCTACTTGGGAAGTGAACCAGTGGGTGGAAGTCCTCTCTCTCTCTTCCTCTCTCCTCTCTCTCTGTAACTCTGACTTTCAAACAAATAATAAATCTTCAAAACAAACAAATATTCTCACTGTATCCAAGAAACAGAGACATGTTTCTATATTCTTTATAAATGGGCACATCGAAGCATAATAAAACACTTTGTTCAGAATCACAGAATAAAAAAAAAATACATATTTAGCCTCCAGCACTTCAGTAGTAAAATTTATATTAGAATTTTTTAGTTATTTT